ATAACGACATTGAATTAGTACGTCGTTTGCTAGATGAACATCCATTAGAAGATTTAGATCAAATGGAACTTAATGGCAGCACCGCTTTGCACGCTGCTTGCTATTATAAACATATTGATATTATTAAATTATTACTTGATAGAGGTTTTACTCGTTGTGTTTTAAATAAATATAATAATACACCTTTCGATGAAGGTCAAACTGAAGAAATTCAACAATTATTTATACGTCCTAAAACATCAAATCGATTCGGTGGTGGAGATTTATCAGATGAACAAGAAAAATTGAAATGGATTATTCTTGATGGAAATGAACAAAATATAATTCAAGATCGTATACCAGATACTTATCATGGTAATCGTTTGGAATATGGTATATTTCATGGTGATAAAATTCTACAACAATTAGGTACTACTATGCCTAAAATTGATGTTATTCAACGTCTTTTTCATCGAGCTATGAATGAAAAAGATTGTACACGTTTAATTCAAGCTTATACTGCTGAAACAGACTTTTATAATCGTATAAATAATTATTTAATCTCACAAAATAATCAAAAAAATGTCATATCTGAATTCGTAGATACAATTCATTTTAATCATCAATTGCATGAAAAATATTCATTTCAAGGAATATGTTATCGTACTATGAATATTACATCTGAGAATGATCTTGATATTTATAAAATTGAAACAAAAATTATGAATCAAACATTTATTTCAGCAACAAAAGATCGTCACTTTATTGAACAATACGCACATGAACGTAATAAAAATAACAAATATACAATTATTATTTCATTTGAAATTCGTCATCATAAAACTGCACTAGATATTGAATATTTATCCGAATTTTCACATGAAAAAGAAATATTAATTATGAATAATAGTATATTTAAAATAATGCATATTTCAACTAAAAATAATTTCAATATAGAAATAGAAGTACGTGAATCAAAATCAACACGAGTGAATAAAAAAGACAAACAAAATGGTATTTTAGGAATATTTCATTTTAAATAAATCTTCTTATGTAATCTATTGAAATACTAGCTATCAATTATATTTATTTTTTAATTACTTTAAACTATCATTTAATAATAAAAAGAAAAAATCACATAAAAATCACTATGATATGGAAAATATTATTAAACAGGTGAATCAACCATAACAGCTTCATTACAAACGGTAAAATAACCATGGTAATGTATTTCTTTAGGTGTTATATCAAAATGATAATGACCAGCTTGTCCATGATTACTAAAAAAATGCGAATGTTCGCAACGAAAGCCAGCATTATTGATATCTTCACTTAATATAACTGATAGACAATTTAACGGTGCATACATATCATAAAATTTTAACCATTGCTCAACTTGTTCTTTTGTTGTTAAATCTTCATTCAGGAAATCTGGCATTACATGTGCTTTTACTGTACCTTTTTCAATACGAAATATACCTCCAAGAGCTATGGGTTCTTTTGAATATTGTTTTAAACTACGTCGTATAACACTAATAAAATTATTTTCTTCTTCATGTTCATCACTTAAACGTTCATGTACATCAATTTCAATTACAATTGATGATTTTTTATGATCAATTGATGATATCATTAGATGTTGAAATGGACCACATGTTTTTGATTCATATAAATTTTGACATGGTTCATTTTTTTCTTCAGGTACAAGTGAACTATATGAACGTTGAGTAATAACTTTATTATATTGATCAAGTGTCATATTAACGACAAGTTCACCATTGATAAGAACTTGATTTTGATCAGCAGCACCAGGTCCAATAACAAGTGTTTGCTCGTTTTTAATATGTAATTGATCAAGTACACTGGAAATATCAAAACATATTGAATGGCCTTGTTTAAATTCAACATTTTTTGGACCACCTATTCATAATAGAAAAATATTAAAATTCTCGTTCTCTGAAATATAAAAACTTTACCTAATTGACAAAAAATTCCATTATTTCCAAGATTTGATGCAGCTAAATTCCAAGGTTCAGCTGATAAATCAATCTTATTTATTTCATCAGTTGGTACTAATCTTATTTTAACTTGTTTATAAACTTGTTTTAATTCATTCTCTATTGCTTGAATCATCGATTGTCCTTGATCATTTGGAACAGACAATGGATAATGTACAATACGATAATCTCGATCACTATATGTTTGTTTATGTTTAGCTAAATCTAATAAACGTTGATCACGCCATAATTTTTTATCATCTAAACCATTATCTTCAACCGAATATTTTGAACGAAAATATTTATCAACTTTTTCAACAGTTTCCTGTGACCAATCCGATGGAAAATTCATATCAGTTAAAACACGTTGCATTGATGAACCATATCGACTAAAATCTATTCAGATTTATTATATTATTTTTTTTTTCAAATTAAATAATAAATACGTTACAATCATTAATTCCTTTTGGTGCATTAAGGTCAATTGTTTGAAATGGTCCCATAAATGACCATCGACATGCTAATCCATGTGTTATTGCTCGATCAACATCTTCAGGTTCAACAATATCATCTTGAACTAATTGAAGAGCCGATGAAAGAATAGCATATTGAAGACGATTTACTACAAAACCATCAACTTCTTTCTTAAGTCGAATTGGTTCCATACCAAAAGAACGATATCGTTCAACTGCTAAATCAACAAATTCTTTATCTGTCCATGGTGCACCAACTATTTCAACAAGTGGAATTGTTGTTGGTGGATTTATTGGATGTCTACATAAATAAATAAATAAAATTCTTTTTCTCTCTCTCTCGAAATAATATCAATAACATACGCAACAATACAACGATTTCTTGTTTTCATTTGTTCAGTAAATTTCGATGGCATAATACATGATGATGAACTTGCAATTAAAGCATTTGATGGAACAATTTCATCTAATTGTAAAAATAATTTCGTTTTTATTGGCACATCTTCAGGTATACATTCTTGAACATGATCAATTCCTTGTTGGAATACTTCCTTTAATTTTTCTATTGTATCAATTGTTTGAATACGTATTAATATATCAGCTGGTGTTTGATTAAATAATAAATTGAAACGATGTAATTGTGCAAGTTGTAAACCTATTTCCACAATAGCTGCATCAAGCATAGATGAAGATGTATCATATAAAAAAACATCTTGTTTCGCTCGAGCGAAAATAACACTCCAACAACGACCAATAAGACCTGAACCAATAATAACTATACGCATATCTACATGAATAGAAAAAGAACACAACGAACATTACAAAATTCCATAAAGAAACTACTCTAGCAATATTTATTAATAAAAAGACACGAATACATATACAATATTATAAACTATAAAATTGTGCAGCATGACTAGATTGAGTTTCAATTTGTCCGATTTTAAATTGTAAACGATTAAGCCATTTAAGTAAAATAGCTGGATAAAAAAAATTACGATTGTATTATCAAATAAAAAACAAGAATTCTTTGATACATACCATACATAAATCGTAGATCGCCTTGTGTTTCTGATGATGGTTGATGATTTAAACATGTTTGAAGACGTACTTGTACATGAGCTGGTAATTGACTTTGATGTGTATATAAAACAGGTACCCACATTGCGAATAACTATTAAATTATAAAATTTATATTTTCTTTTTTTTTATATAAAATTAATTTACATTTGCTAATACAATGGAATTAATTTCTTGTAAGGCTTCGATTAAACTTAAAAAATGTAAATTAACCATTTCTGCAAGCTAAAATAGAATAAACCATTTAAAATAAAAATATTTTTATTGAAAAATAAAACAGAAAAAAAGAACAAAATACAGTGTATATAGATAAAGCTTTCATAAATAAGCACATGTGTATATTTATGACATCAAAAATACCTCGCGATGTTTGTTAGGACTTTCTTTATCCTGAAATTTACCATTGATTTTGTTTCATATCGAATTTTTTTTCGTTTTTTTTTATTCAAAAACTTCTTGTTGTTATAAGAAAAATGTTTTTTACGTACCACTTTTGAATGTGATAATAGATGAAGTATACCCGGTGTAATCCGAGCCCAAAAATCCATAATTGCAACAAGTGCTTCTGGATCATGTCCTCGATTAACTTGTTCACAATACATTGTCCATAACTTAATTATAATAACAAAAATAAGAAATTTTAAAAAAATACAAAAAAATTTATTTTACTTGACAAAGAATAAATGAATGAAAAAGTGATGACATATGAATAACGGATGTTTTCGATTGATCAGCAAAACCAGTTAAAATATATAAAATATAATCAGCAATTGATTGACTTGCATCGACAGGTATTGGATGACATATTATTGTTCCTTCATTTCTTGTTATTGCTGCATGTGTTAATGAACCAATCATTAACCATGAAAGAAATCGTATACGATCAATACAATCAACAAAATCTTTTGCTCTAAAATTAATGAGCAAAAAAAAAATATATTTTCTAATAAAAATAATTTAAATAATAACCCTTGTTGAACAGATGTTGGTGGATTATAAAGCCAAGGAAGAAAACGAACAATAGCTTTTGAATCTCGTTGTCCACCTTTTGTAAATTCTAAAGCAAGATATTGTGCAAGACCAGCTTTTAATTGTCCACCTAATGTATCTTCTGTTAAATTTGATAATTGTTGTTTTTCACTTTTTTCTTTCATTGTACTCTATTAAAATAGAAAAATATTAAATTTTGATATTTCATTTTTTTTCTCGAACTTTTATTTTTGTTATTGTATGAATATCAGCAATAAATGCGACGGTTTCATTAAGATAATGTTTCATACATTCAGCTCCATTTGTTGTTACCTATTTGAAATTAAAATAAAATTATGTAGGAGAATTTTTATGCTAGGATATAAATAAGGAAAAAAAAACATCACGGCACTGATATCACAAACGCACAACATTATGAGGATCATATGCACGAACGTCATCGCTGACAATTGCTGATGCATAAATCGTACCACCAGCATCAAGTAAAATTAACTAAATACATATGAAAAAAATGTTTTTTTTAAATAATAGAAAAAAACGACAATAATGTATGATTTACTTGTATCATTAAAAGTAAATTTCGATCAGGACATGGATATCGATGAAGCATAGCTTCAACAAGAACATTAACAATAGATCTTGGTAATAAAAATTTTTCTCGATCCTATAGAATAAAAAATTTTAACATCTTGAAAGTTTTCAAAATCATTTGTTTTTTTACTCGTGTAAATGTTCGATTACTTAATGAACATAATTCAATGATATGTTCTAATTGAAATGTACCATTTTGTAAAATAAATGTTAATAATTTTGAAAATGGATCAAGAACAGCTCGTACATTTGCTATATATGGAACTTTAAGTATATTCATCATAATACGAAGTACAGGTGTTAAATCATAATTAACTGGTGTATTTGATTTAATTGTTGTATAAATTCGTGTTAATTTATCGAATAAAACATCAAATTCATAAAATACTTGTGTCCATAAATTAATTGGTGAATCAATTGGAATATATTCCATAAATTGGGCGATATTACTAAGTAATATTGTACAAATATCAAGCGAAAGATTTTTTTGTTTATTCATATCCTAAATAAAAAAAAGATTTAAATTTGTTCATAAATGATTTCAAGAAAAATAAAAAATTACATTAAGAAGCCATCGAAGTGCAATAATTGAATTAAATTCTGGAAAATCATTCAATGATAAAGCAATTGTATGTAATAATTTATCATCTAGATAGATAAAATATAAGATTTGTTTTTTTAATTTGAAAAATTTGTCAAACCTCGAAAATGTTGTTGAAAAAATTGATAAGAAATATTATTTGCAGCTAATTGTTGAAATGTACAACGAATAAATTGTTGTGCAATACTTCGTGAATTTGCTGGTGCAACAACAGTTGAATTTTCTTGCCATGTATAGATATGAGATGCAGCAACACGTCCAATTGTTTCAATCATATCCATAAGTAATGGTGCTGCTATAGCTGGTTCACGATGAACAAGTGTTTCACATACAATTATACAATGACCAATACATTCTTCACTATAATATTCAATTGGTTGTCCACATTTATCACATTTAGGTACGTTTATAAATTGATTATGTAAATCTGTATCAGCGTATGGATTATCTAATTCATCATTTGCTGTTGTAGTTGTTGTTGTTGCACGTTTAGCACTTGATGATATTATACCTGCAGATTTAACATGAGCTTGTGATGATGATGTACGTGTTGGACGACTAAATAGATAGAAATAATATTAATATATATATATTAATTGAAAATAAATCTACTAACGTTAATGTTGGCGAACGAACATGTGTATCATCTTTATGTTTAGATTTTTTTCCATGATAACTTGGTTTTAATCTTCCACCAGCCGCTGTTCCACCCATACTAGCCAATGTTGATGATGATACTGATGTTGCTTTAGCAACTTTTGGTGGACTTTCTTCTATTAAAACAAAAAAATAAAAATTCTAGAATTTCTTTTTGATGATATATAATTATAAATTAACCTTTCATTCCAGTATTACTGCCAGGTTTAAGTAAAACAGTTTCAAGTTTACCACGTTCAGCTGAATAAACAACACGTGATAATTCTTTTACTCCTATAAATAATTGATTTATATCTGAATAATTTTATATGAATTAATATTACCTTTGCCACCTTTGATATCAATATCTGTTAATTTGTCAGTTGGAACTGTTGATGATAATGATGGTGCTACACCAGGTGATGTATTAATAGCAGCACTAGTTGTACCTGATGGTCCACTACTAGTAAAAAGACTTTTTAGAAATCCTGTATATGATCGACCAGATGAACCAATATTTTCTTCTGTTTGTCGAATTGTTAATGGTTCATCAAAACATTCAATTTCAGGTTTATATAATCTATTTAAAAAAGGTTTAATTAATCGAAAGAATATTATTTTCTATTTTTTTACTTTGGTTTAACTTTTTTCGGTGGTGATAATAATCTAAAACGTTTATGTTCAGCAATACTTGTTGATTCTGATTGTGTATCACCATCTAAATCATATCGAGCTGCTCCTAATTCATTTAATTCTATTTCACGTATATCATCAAATGGTCGTGATGATCCTCGTCTTGATCCAGCTACTTTCGGTGTAATTCTTCCACTAAGACCTCCTCCACCAGTAACACCAAATGGTGGTGTTTCACATTGATGATAATGACTAAGAATTGTATTCATTGCAATACGAGTTAAATGTTGAATTGTTACAGCAAATGTTGTATATTGATACTAAAAGATTTTATTAAATAAAATAATTTTCCTTTTTTTTCTTTTTACTTTATATAAAATAATAATAAGAATCATTAACCATGAATTACGTAAACTAGGATCAATACGTCCTAAAGTATTTGATGCTGCAATATGCTCATAGAATTGTATTGATGCATTTGAACATGTCGAAAATTGTAGAAATGATAGAAAAAATGGTAAAAGAACAGTTCCAAGACTGAAATTATAATCGAGAACTTTGGGTAAATTGGATACAAATGCATGAAAAACTGAACTTCGACTAGAAACAAAACAAAAGAAAATATGATATATATATTTATAATCAATAGAATACAAACCGAATTTTGCTTGGTAAATTAATAAATGTTCGATTTGTTTGATTATAACCAAGTAAAGAACAAAGATGTCGAATAACAACATTCTAAAAAAAATCAAATAATTAAAAATCATTAAAATATTTGCTTTTACTTGTTGTTTGAGCATAATTCGATCATCATTAACTTGATTTTGATCATCTTTCATCATAAACTAAAGATAGAAAAAATTCTTTTTATTTTTATCAAATCAGTTTCGAAAAAAAATCTTTACTTTCATAAGTAAATTAACTAATAATTGTAATGTTGATCTATCACTATTTTCTGTCTCAGGTGAAAGAAAACTTCCAATAGAATCTGTCTCAACTTTATCGCTCGTGACATTTGTTTGACGTGGAACTGTTGTTGTTGTACGTCGTTGATGTGATGGAACACGTATTGATGATGATATAGGTTTAATTGAATCTGTTTTTGCCATTGCAAAACGTATTTGATTTAATTTTCGTATAAAATGTTCGCTTTCCGTATTAAACCCACCAATACTTTGTGGACTTATTAATTCGCCAGATTCTTCCATACTTATTTGTGATTCAATTGATAATGTATCAAAACGATTAAGAAAAAATTCCCAACTTAAAATTTTTATTGTTGAATTATTACGTAATAAAATTGTATAAAGTTTTGATAAACGATGTAAAATTATTGAACGATCATTTATAACAGTATCAAATTGAAATTCAAGTGCACACATAACTGTTTTAAATGATGCATCACCTAATGTTTCTAACGAACACATAGCTTTTTGACTAACGGTTGGTTCAACATCTTCAATTGATGTTATTAAATTAAGAAATGCATATGCAAGTACAGAAAGAACATTATAATTATTTTTTATTAATTTTGGTTTAAGTAAAGAATAAAGTGCGATAACACGTGTACCTTAAATTATAGATATATATATGCGGAAGATTATAGAGAGGGTGTTTATTTACCAGCTGATGAACGAACTTTCCAATGTGCACTTGAAAAATCTCGTTCAAGTATATTCCATAAAGCTGTTTTACCAGGTTCATAATTAAGTGCATGAAGAAGTAAAGGTACACAACATTCATTTAAATGACCATGTCCTAATGCAAAAATTTTCCAAATACTAAAAACACAAAAAGAAGTTTTAGATGCTTAATAATTAAATTAATTTACTGTGGAACAAGTAATTTTTCGAGACAATAAGAAAGAAAACCTCGATTATCTTTAGCTGCTGTTTCTAAACATTCATCATTTAATATTAATAGTTTTAAACAACATAATAAATAATAAAGTGCATCTATATCAATAATTCGATCTAATTCCTAAAATAAAAGAAAACATTTGTTACTTTTCTATATAATATTTTCGTTTTTTTCTTACTTTAAGTACAGAATAAAAGAATTGTAAATGAATATGAAGTGTATTAAGTTTAAAATAGAAAACACCCTGTGATGTTATCCATATTCCAGCATCCGGATTATTTTCAACTTTCAGTTCAGGTGTTGTTGACGCTGCTGCTACTGCAGCTGCTGGTACTGGAGCTATTGTATTCATATTTGCTGGAACTTCTTCTTCATTATTCAATGATAAAGATGATGATGTACTTTGATTATCACCACCCGATGACATTTCAATAGCTAGAAAGAAGAAATTCTCAAGTAAATGATATATCAGTCTATATTCTCTTACTAAATTTTGGTTTACTAGATGATCTAGCTGATTGAAGTAATGTTTGTTGTTGCTGTTGTTGTAATAATTGTTGTTGTTGTTTTAATTGTTGTTGTTTAAGTTCATTTATATTTGGTAATTCAAGTTCAGGTAATTTAATTTCATCACGTGGTGAAATATATTTCAAAATATCTTGTGCTATTGAAAACCATAAAATATATTCTTCACAAAATGAACATTGACTTGCTGATGTTCGACAACGATGACGACGTGTCCATGGTAATATTAATTGTTTATTCATTAAAGATAAAATTTCTTTTGATAATGGATTATACATTCCTTGATGTTGTGGTGATTGTTGAAGTTCCATCTGAATAATAAAAAAAAATAGAATTAAAAATAACAAAACAGAAAAAAAAAAATCTTACTTGTTTCAAAGCCATATCAACCATCATAATACAACATGTTGAATTTGTTTCACTTTCATTAATAATAAATTCTTCTTCTTCTTCTTTTATAATTGATACCATTTCTTGTCCAGTCATTTGTTGTAACATCAATTGATGACGATGTGCACGATAAGTTTCATATGTATCAAAAACAAGAAATTTATTTGTTGATGATGATGATGAAACTGTTGTTAAACCAGCCATACCACTTGTAGGATTAGTAACATTTCCATCATCTTGTGATAACATCATTAA